GCGACTCAGGTCGAGATCTCATGGTTTGTGGATTTGAGCTCTATGTCAGGCTCTGTGCTGACAGCTCAGAGCCTGGCGCCTGCTTGGGATTCTGTCTCCCTCTCTCTCTGCCCTTCCCCCCCACTCGCTTGCGCGCACGCGTGCTCTCTCTCTCTCTCTCTCAAAAATAAACATTAAAAAAAAAAGTTAAAAAAAATTACTTCTTCCTAGAGCAAGGTTTCTAAAATGATCACCCATGCAATAGGCTCAAGGATCTGAGCTATAAAGACCTCTAAAGACCTCTTCAATTTACTAAGTCCTAATCAGAGAGATAATGGTAACAGGTCAGGAAGAGAAAAAAATTTCTGTCTGGTTTCTGGGAGAGGAAAATCAAACCTGGTTTCCTCCCAATGAGGACCCGACGGGTCTAAGTGGTACAGAGACATTACATCTTTCACAGACATTAGAAGATAAAGGAGAGAACAAATCACTGTCACTCTGCTAACAGGCCTCGAAACAGCCTAGACACTTGCATAACCTGATGAAAGCCATCGGAACCCCAGTGAAGAAGGACAAAGAAATGAGAAAGCATTACTAGCTATCCACCTATTATAGAAGGAAACAGAGACTCAGAACTGAGTTCAGTAGCTTTCCCAAGGTCAGACAGCTAAGCAACACTAAAGCAGGATTTTGTCTCTAAAGCCACTGTGCTTTCTTCTCTATCACTTCCCTCGGTACACCAGTTAAAACAGCAAACGTCAGATTTGACTTTCCTTCTGTAAGCTTTTGATATCATCCTGACCTGAGACATATGTTCTGAAAATATAATTAGCTCAGATATTAATCAACTTTTCTAGTGCCTACATTCTCTATGTCTTATACTATTACGTGTTAACATGGGTCAGAACTATTCCTACTGGACATATTTCTCTCTAAATTTCAGATTTATCTCTCCCTTCATACCCATTTAGTGAGGCAGAAATCTACTAGGTTCATCAGGCTGCTTGACTTTGTAAATGGCATATTCATTTACACAGATAAGTTCTCAGGAAATAAGCTTTGTTCAAAGACTAAAAATTACAAAAATTTTTATGTTTTAGTAATAAATTCTCTATTTACTATAAGAGCAAATCCTTCAAAAGCCTGGTCCAAATGCAAACATGTAAAATATCTTTTCTCTTTTTCACTAAGGGTCTGTGTTCATATAATGCCATAAATCAAGTTATTAGAACTTTTAAGACAAAAACCCTATAAATTTAGAACACATTTTAAAATTCCAAAAATAAGAATTCATATAGTTCCTAACACAGAAACAGACTGCAAAATGATCTAAAATTATATGATTTCATGTATATGAAAGAGTCTGAATCATTCATGTATGATAGGTAAATGTATCTGTAGTTAAAATTATATTGTTTTAAGTTATAACCTTGTTTTATGTTTCTAAGTTTCATAGGGTTTTATGTACTGTAAAATTGTCCATATTAACCTTTGACAGGTTTATGCTAGTAAAGGAGATTTGGCACCTGAGCAATCTACTTGGAATAAAAACCATGGGTGTCGCTGTTTTTAAATCCTATCTTCCCAAGTTAGTCAGTCAGAGAAAGACAAAAATCATATGACTTCACTCATATGAGCACTTTAAGAGACAAAACAGATGAACATAAGGGAAGGGAAACAAAAATAATATAAAACCAGGGAGGGGGACAAAACAGAAGAGACTCATAAATATGGAGAACAAACTGAGGGTTACTGGAGGGGCTGTGGGAGGGGGGAGGGGCTAAATGGGTAAGGGGCACTAAGGAATCTACTCCTGAAATCATTGTTGCACCAAATGCTAACTAATTTGGATGTAAATTATAAAAAATAAAAAATAAAAAAATTTTAAAAACAAAGAGCATTAGTAAATAACATAAAACCTCAGGATATATGAAGGTCAAAACTTTCAAGGTCTTAAATTATCTCAACTTTTCATACTGAATTACCATGTATATGATGTTTCCTGTTATTCTTCCATCATTTTGTATTAAAACAAAACAAAACAAAACAAAACAAAACAATCATGTCTTCCTTTCTCCCTTCTTTGACAACTACAAATACCACCTTATCTTTTGGTGATTCAAAAAATCTTAAACCAATTATATTAACTAAACCATTTTGATTTTTGATAATGGTCTAACATTTGCTCCAATCTTCATTCACAATGATAATAAATGCTCAAGTCAAATCCTTTTTATAGATCCAACTATGACATCTGTCTAAGTCTTGGACTTATTTACATGCATTTTCCTTTCCTTTTTAGGTTATCAGACAGATCAGAGGTCAGCAAAAATTTTTTTTTAAGTTTACTTATTTATTTTGAGAGAAAGAGAGTGAGCAGGGGAGGGGCAGAGAAAGAGGGAGAGAAAGGGAATTCCTAGCAGTCTCTGCACTGACCCTGGGCTCAAACTCAGCAACCGCAAGATCATGACCTGGGCTGAAGTCAAGAGTCAGACACTCAACCGATTGAGCTACCCAGGTGCCCCAGCAAGCTTTTCTGTAGAGAACCAGAAATAAATATTTTAGGCTATGCGGGCCACAGGGTCTTCGTTGCACCCACCCAGCTTGCAGCTGGAGCCGTAAGAGCAGCCATACATAATACATAAATGAATGGGCAGGGCTGGATTTAGCTGGCACCTACTGGATTTGGCCCATGGCAGTAGTTAACTGACCCCTGAGCTAAGTCATGGGAAAAATAGGACAAATTGTGCTACTACAATCACCTGAGGTATCTTACTACTTAGGCTGACGAAAAAACAACACTCATAGCCATGCTGAGTTTAGACTTAAGCACTAAATCCATTAATCTTGATCCAAAGAGTGCTAAAATATAATAGTCCACCGAAATTAGATTTTACTTTTCAGAAAGCCACACATTTGGTTAAGCATATTACCAGATAAATGAGGCCCTAACTGAGGTCAGGCTTTCAAACCTTCTCACCTTGATTCCCTTTCTCACCTTATTTCCCCAACTCACCCCAATTCCACTGGACACAATACTGATTTTGTTGTTGTTGTTGTTCCAGGAAGGCCAAGGCATCATCATCTCCCCCCTACTATATATAAAGTGGTTTCTGTTTCCCTTATTCTGTGACCAGATAGAGCTGAAGGCTGACTTCATGCCCAATTCCCCTTCTCCCTTGCTGCCTTTCACTCTATAAACTGGACAGGTTACATGCTTACTTTCTCAGCCCTTCTCGCAGCTTAGCATGGCCGTATAATAAAGTTCAGGACAATAAATATCTCATGAAAGACTGCCAGTGGTGGGGGCGGGAGGGAGGGGAGGTGAGGGGGCACCAGGGGCAGTACCCTGAGAAAGATTTCACATTTTTTGAAAAAAGGAGCTGGAGTCACAACTGCCAGAACTCCTTCCTCCTCACTTTCTCCCTGCCTTAGAGCAACTCTGATTTCTGGAATTAGAGCAAACATTCTACAAGCTGACATTCTGCAACCATTAGAAGAAGCTAAGAGAACTGTAGAGACCCAGTGCTGAAAATTTTAAGCCACTGAAACAATGCCAGAAGCCACTTATCTCCAGAGTGGTTACATGGGAAAAAATAGACCCTGTAAAGTGCATTTTTGTTACAAATGAGAATATTCCTAATCTACCTTTTCTTGGAAGTCCTGAGTCACTACTCCTGGCAAGAAGTGAAGGACCCAAAGTGGCTGAGCACAGTTTGTTATAAATTCTGACCAAATGGCACTAACTTTAACCAGGGAGAGAAAAGTAGCAGGAGGAAAATCACAAAAGAGGGTCGAGCCTGAGTTGACAGCCTAGGTACAATAAAGCCAATGAAGGCAAAGAAAAGAGAAAAGCCAAGATGATTATGCAAATGCTAAAGAAACAGAAAATAAATAACTGGAAAAAGTATACCACTAGATTGTGGGGAAATAAACTTACAAATGCTCTACTCAGCAAATCAAATCTGAAAATTCTGATTAATTTCTAATGATGTATTCCCACTGTTAGAAGAACAGAAGTTAAGAACTCAGCTTTTACAGTTACATTTTTATGCTTTTCCCCCAGTGAATTAATTTATCTTCACACTTCTATTTCCCTGGTATTCACAAGGGTATAGTTACTGTCCATATATGATTATTTTTGACACTTGAAGAGTCTTTGAAATAATTATTAATGATCAAGTTACTGATGATATTGACAGGAAGGACACTGGTCCCTTCAAGTAGTCATATACTAGGTTAGCTGGCTGATCCATCAGCCTAGTTTTAGGGACAGTCACTTCTCTTATATGTCAACGCCACTGCAAAAACACCTAAAGATAAGTAATTCCACCCAGTCGAAAGAAACTTCAGAAATATGCTTATTTTAACTCACATATTCCCTAAAGTACAATTCTTAAGTTGAAAGTTATTTTAGTATCTTACAAATAATGCAGTATTTATATTACACACACACACACACACACACACACACACACACACACACACACCTCTCTCTAGTTCTAGACCCGATAGTCTTCTCCTCCATGAGAATTGTGGTGATGTTATGCTGTAGTGTAAACACCTATCAATTATAACACCTACAAATTACAATGGATTTTTTTATCATTATTTATTATTTTTATGATTTCAGAGTAGAATTCCTTAGGGCTGCCAAAGCGTTAGCTGGAAAGAATACCAAACACAAAGAGGTTTCAGGCTCAACTGCAGTAGTGGAACAGAATTTAGGAAAGTTCCAACACTACATTTTAAAGCCCAAACATCTTATTGTCTTTTTTAGTTGACAAATCTGTGCTCCGCAGTGTAACAGCAGCAGCAGAACAGCTGGGTGGCCGTATCAAGCACAAAGGAAGCAACAGCACATGCTGTTAAGTGTCATTTTGATTGCCTAAAAATGGCAGCCCATGCAGATTTATTCCCTGTTATAAATTAGAACAATTATTTCTCTGGAGTTTTACGTTTTCTTCATGAAAGAGTCAAACTCTCTGCACATTAAAAAAGAGGACTTTCAAAAAGGATATCTTCCCTTTCTTTGATGATCAGTTCATTCTGTTCCTCCAACTGCCTGATCTTCTTCTCAAATGATTCCTGCTCAGCTCGGAGTCGTTCTTCTGTCACTTCCTTTTCTTCACTTACTCTGAAAGAAATACAAAAATGGAAAGAAAATGCCTGTGAGGATGAGATAAAATATGTGCATATAGCTGTCATTTACCAAAACTAGATTTCTTCCAGAAGTGTGCTGATTTCTTCAGGGATACTCTTCAGGGATACTCTTCAGTATCTTCAGGGATACTCTTTGCTTTTTCTTTTTTGTTTTTTTAAATTAACCTTTCATGAGGCAATCGTGCATACCTTTGTAATAAAATATGAACATGATTTTTATATCAAAAATGTTCCCAGTCATCAGAAGTATCTTAAATGTGGAAAGTCCTAAATAGAAAATAGGCTCCCAGTTGCAACCAGGACAGAAAAATATTCAATTTTTAAAACACAGTTTCATTTCTTATCAAAACAGGCACAATCACTTTATTTTGATTCGGATCTTTTTAATATTTTTATATAAATCCTGTCAATGAAATAAACAATCTATATATCTCTTAAACACTTCATTAAATATACATAGGCAATTTTACTCTTTTCCTTGGAACTGATACCTTGCATTCCTCAGTAGCATATAAATAACTAGACTGGAATAAAAAGAGGGTATTAACTTAAAAAAAAGGTTTGCATTACAATTATTCTTAGTACAAAAAGAATTAAAAAGTGTTAAAAAAAAAAAACTGACCAAAAAAAATCTGTATCCTTAATGTTTAACTGAAAAGTATTCCAACTCAATCCTACCAGAAAGAGGTGATGGTTTCTGACAAGAGCAGAGGGAGGAAATCATTTAAAACCCCAATTAATCAGCAACAACATTAAAACTTATCTTAGTTTTTTTTTAATGTTTGTTTATTTTTGAGAGAGAGAGAGAGAGAGAGAGAGAGAGAGAGAGAGAGAGACAGAGTAGGAGTGGGGTAGGGGCAGAGGGAAAGAGAGAGACACAGAATCTGAAGTGGGCTCCAGGCTTTGAGCTGTCAGCACAGAGCTCGAGCACAGGGCTCGAACCCACAAACCTTGAGATCATGACCTGAGCAGAAGTTGGATGCTTAACCGACTGAGCCACCCAGGAACCGCCCCCACCCCCTTTTTAAAAAAATTTTTAAAAATGTTTATTTATTTTTGAGAGAGACACACACAGCAGGTGTGGGGGAGGGGCAGTGAAAACTTATCTTAAAACGACAGCCCTAATTTTCATGTTACTCTGTGCACAGAGATGTTAGCCCTGAGTTCTGCTACTGGTGCTTATTCCTCCAAAACATTTATCCTACAAGATCATACAGCAATATGTGTAAGTGAGATCCACAGGGATTCCTTTGGGCTCCTAAATTTACTTCCTTCTAGACCCCCGCTCTACTTGAAATCAATGAGATAACAGAATGAAAATTAGAATTTTGAATGTTTGAGTTGATTGCATCTCATCTTTGAATAATTTGTGTGAAAGTGCATGACACACAATAGTGTACAAAAAAATAGGTTTATTTCTTCTTCCTCATCATGACATTAAAATCATTTTCCCAACTCCTATTATTCATGCTCAGCATACTATTGGGCCCATGAATGGGATTCAGGCCCTTCCTTCTATGAGGGTAATCTCTAAAATTGATTACAAGTACAAGGAATCCAGACAACGAAACAAATATACACAAGATGACGATTTATCCTCTGGTCTCAGGTTAACTTGCCTCCATTGTTGCCATCCCTTTCCAGGGCCTTCCCCTTTGTTGTCGTCACTGTCAAGCACACTTGCACTATCTTTCACAGTAATCCCGCCACCTCTCAGTTTTTCTAGAATTGTCAAACATTTGAACCATTAACTATTCCTACCACCCAAATTTTCAATCTGTCAACCAGCTTCTGAAACATTTTTGTCAAAATACGGTTCCAAATCAGGTAAACTCCCAAGGTATAAAGTAGAAAATCATGTATACATGGAGACATTGGAAAACTGTGCTTATTTCTCTGAACATCATTATTCTTCCTCATAAAGAAAAAAAGCTAACTAGATCAGGCATTTTTTAAAATTCTCTTGAGCTAAAGTTCTATTATTTCCTTCGCTATACTCTAAATATCCTGATACTGTATATGTGTCCTTCATAAACATGGAGAGCACTTGTAAAGGAATAAGAAAGAAGTTCTCAAACATTTGGTCAAGGTACAAGGAATACAATACTATAATCTAGGCAAAAGTTATAGCCATAGGATGAGAGAAAGTAGATTAGGAGAAATATTAAAAAGTATGAACATGCAAAATTTGGCATAAGGATAGTGCAAAACATAAGAACTGATGAAACTGTAGGATTATGCATAAGATAAAGATGAGGGGCACCTGGCTGGCTCAGTTGGAAGAGCATGCAACTCTTGATCTCAGGATCATGAGTTTGAGCCCCACACTGGGTGTAGAGATTAAAAAATAAATAAACTTAAGAAAAAAAAGATGGATTAAGTGACGCTATATATTGTAAGGAGAGAACAAAAACTGTCAAGGTGAGAAAATATGTAGCAAAATCTCTCCCTATTTAGATTGGTAAAATCTTAAACAAGACCAAAGAGGAAAATTCATAAGTAGATAAGCAAATATTTATTTTTTTACTTATTAAAAATTTACTCAAAGCCTACTATAGAAAAAAAAAATAATCAAACTAACTTTAGCCAGTTACAGGGTACCCAAAAGAAACCTAACAATGGTTCTCTATCATTTCAAGACTATTCATAAAAGTCATACAAATATAAAGAACAGCCCAAAGATTTGTCTTTTCAGCAAGTAATGTACCAGAGTCATAAAAAAAATTTAAAAAAAAAAAAAAAAAAGGTAGAATGCCAAATTTACCTTAACATTAAACTAAACAAAGACATTATCTCTAGAGCCTGCCAGGTCAGAACATATAGGTATTTACCAACATTTACTTACTTCCTTTGTCAGATCTGAAGGAGATCCATGAAAAGTCTAAGGATCAGTAAGGGCAGAAATGCTTATACATATGTCTCATAATGCCAGAGTCCACAATAAGCTTTCCCCAAAACTTAAGGTACTCTATGCAGAAAAATCACTCTTCGAAATTTAGGAGTATGTTTGATAAAATGTGTTGCTATACTACTTAAACAGGGCTTTTTCATTTTAATCTTTTCTGTTTGCTGCTATGATAAGACTACTCTTTAGCAATTATTATGCTCTGGAAGACTATACACTTAAGCTGTGTTAAGCACAAAGGACAACACTTCTTCTCTAGGCCTATCTAAAGATATATACGGCTTCTTTGTGGCCTATTAACCTAGTTAATATGAGCACATATATTAATACAACCTTTAAATGCAGAGGAATTACCAATAAAACAGCCTCCAGATTTGACACCCACTCTGAAATCTGTCTTCTTGTTTAATTTATGTTCAATAATATTTCCCTTGAGGAATACATACAAGAAAATATCTGGTATCATGATCTACATTTTTCATCAAAGCATTCACAGACCACAAAGTAACATAAAAAGACCTAATCCTTTATCTCATGTGGAGTATAGCAATAAGTTAATTAAGAAAATGTGAATCTAAACATAGGGAAGGGAAATATTTGACTAATAGGATTAAAAAGTTACAACTGGACAAGAGAATAGTCCCAGTGTGGTTTGTTAATTATTAACAAGGAGGACAACAGTCTGTTCATGAAGAAATCACCATTTTTGGCATTTATTTAACACCTCAGAGTATTCCTTAAAAACTTCCACAAAATAGGGGCACCTGGGTGGCTCAGTTGGTTAAGAGTCCAACTTCAGCTCAGGTCGTGATCTCACTATTCCTGAGTTCCAGCCCCACATCAGGCTGTGCTGACAGCCAGAGCCTGGAGCCTGTTTTGGCTTCTATGTCTCCCTCTCTCTCCCTCTCTCTCTGCCCCTCCCCTGTTCACACTCTATCTCTCTCTCTCACAAATAAACATTAAAAAAAATTTTTTAAACCTCCATAAAATGTACTCTTATCTATCAATAGAAAATAATTTACATCCTTAGATAATGAAGGATATTCATTATCCTTCATATTCTTCACGGTTGAACTGAAAATTGTGCCAAAAGTACTTAATTTCTTCGAAGTCTTACATTTCAGCTTAAACATCGCTGCATATTTTGTATTTTCCCATATAAAACAATATTTTCTGTTTTAATATAAAACGTTTTCCCACACTCATCTATTCTTCATTTTCTAAAAGCTGATTTTTTAGTAAAAGATTTATTTTATGGTTTTGCATAACCTTGGTGTTCTTCCGTATTCTCCAGGAATGGGTACTTTTACACTAATGTGAAAGACAAGGTCAAGGCAGCAAAGCTTCTATTTTAAAGAGAATTACAGCTCATCGAATGGTCAACCAGATAAATTTCTTGCCCTGTTTAATGTCTTGTGTTTGGAAGCTGGGGATGTGGGTTCTAATTTATAAATTCTGTATATCAACCTGGTAAGCTTTAGAGAAGGAAAGAACAGATTTCATAGGACATCTGGCAAACAGAAAGAGACATACTGTTTTCAAACTGAAGTAAACACAAAGTGGGGAAAAAAGCTATCATCATTAAAAATATTTCAGTGCAATTACCTTAAGGCCATCTTTACAAATTTTAACATTTGGCTGTTATTTTATTTTTTTATTTATTAAAGTAATTTTTAAATGTTTACTTTTGAGAGGGGTGGGTGAGGAGGGGTTGAGAGAGAGGAGGATAGAAGATCCGAAGCAGGCTCCGCACTGTCAGTGCAGAGCTTGATGTGGGGCTCAAACTCATGAACCATGAGATCATGGCCTGAGCGGAAAGTGGACACTTAACCGACTGAGCCACTCAGGTACGTTGGCTGTTATTTTAAATGTACCGTCTGAAGGAACACAGGTGCTTTAAGAAATCAGAGACATACCAAGCTATGTCAAAAGGGCTCTGAGAACAACAGAGTAATATCAAATGAACACAGATGCACAAATCCTCAACAAAATGCTAGCAAACAGAATCCAGAAACATAACAAAAAGATTATACATCGTGGCCAAATGGGATTGATCCCAGGAATTAAAA